CTAAGTGGGCTTTGGTATCATTGGCTGCCACTTTAAACTAAGTTCTATTCCTTTCGATTTAGCCTGATGAAATAAAGGAGTCCCTAATATCATTCTTATCTGAGTTGTTAATCTTAGAAATATTACCATGGTGTTTTTGTGGATGTCTCATAAAAGTGCTGGCATATATGCCCATGAAAATTAAAAATAGGTGGAACTTACTTACAGGATTGCATAAAAATATTAAAATGAATATTAAAGTAGGCAATTTAGCTTACCATAGTACTTCTGTGTATGTCTTACTAGGGGTGCTGCCTAACATACCCATGAAAATTGATAATAGGAGGAAGTTATTTACATCAAACCAAATAATATGTGATATGATCATTAACAGGGACAACATCAATACTATAATTGTAATTGCAGTTCTTTAAGACCAATAGTCTGTAAGAATCTATGCAGACAAACTATACATTCTTCTATTCTCGTCGTAGAGTCGTGGAAAGTAATATATAAAAAAATAGTTATGTACTTTTAATATAATAGTCCAGCCTTGGATACTAGAAACAACAGACTACTTATGACTATTAATTTTATACTAAATCTCATAAATACCACCTAGTTTTAAAACGTTTTTTGCAAGAAATGCAGTAACAAATTGTAGAATATACTCCATCCGCTTTACTTCATTTACGATTTTATGTAAAGCGGATGGGTATTTTCTAATCAGTTACTCTAATCAGCCACGTAACTTTGCCAAGTCGGTAAGGAGCTTCTTTCTTCTTCTACTTCAACATTACAGTGCTTGAAGAACCAACACCTAATATTTGATTCCTTCCGATTTTTCTTTCATTACGTCTATCCAATAAATATCGTGGTCTTAGATATTCGTGTTTCATCGTTAACTTCTGGTAAAAAATATTACTCTCTGATTGGTGCGACGGCATTTTTATAATGGCACTAATCCATTTTAATCTCCGTAAAGACAGAAGACTTTAAGATTAATAATATAATTATACATATGTATATTTTTTCACAATTTTATGAAGACATTTTTATTAAATTGTTTAGTGTCATGCATCGGAACAACTTGTAATATAAAAATTATTATTGTTGCATTTAATTTCCAAACACAACAATTTAATTTCTTACGTATGCGTCCATATGTGAACATTGGGTGTGTGTTCCCTGCATGAACATCGTATTAAACATCCGTTTTTCGATATTGTAGCCAGCATTGAAATGAGTCTGTCGGCATCCGTCCGTCCGTCGCCGTCCGTCGCTGCACGTTTTGTTTATTTGCTTGTACATTTATGTGTCCGAAAATGTGACATTGCCTTGTCTGTCGGCATTTCGATGTACGTATCTTGTCTGTTAATTCTCCTCCTCGTCGACTGTTGCTGCTGTCGTTGCAGTTGCAGTTGCTGATGCATTTGCTGTTGCTGCTGATGTGATGCTGCTGCTGCATCTATCAATGTTAAATGTCGTTTGTCGTCTCTTTGCCTTGTTTTATTATTAATGACGATTAAATTGTTTTATTTGCAATGAGGCTGCCTGGTCCATTGCATGGCATAAACTCAGCGCCGATGGTGGCCAAATTCGGCATATGTGCAGCCATTCAATGATGCACATCGCATCTGTAGTTGCTCCGAAATCATTTATGCATTTTCTTTCCATAATGAAATTAAAAATTACATTTCATTACTTTTGTGCCCGGTAACATGCGGGAATTTATGCGCCAAAGTGAATCAAAATTTCATGGTATTTATTTGCCAAAATGATTTGATTTGATTTCAATTCAAATGTAAAATTGATTAAAAAAATAATTACAGTTTTTTCACATTATATTTTTTAATGGATGTGAAAAAATCATAAATCACGAAAGAAATAAACATTTGCAATTATGTTTAATAATTCGAAAGTCTACCGAATGACTTTTATTTATATATGCAAGCATTTATAATTGAACCAATGGGTTTAAATGACAATTAATAATTCTTTTTGAAATTTTTTTACGATGAGAATGCGAGTAATCCTTTTAATATTCATTGGCTATAAAAAATTCTTTTAATCTAAAAAATAATTATATTCATTTTTATTGTACAGTGGTGATGTAGATTGAGGAATGATATAGTTGTCGGGTCATTTGTTATATATTATTTATATCATATAGAAATAGAAATTAGAAGGATCTAGGCTGCAACAGCAGCGGATCACTGCAATTATGGTTCATCTATAGTTCTAAAAATATGCAATAACTAATCAGAAAATACTCACCTCTTTAAATAAAGACCAAATTGTCCACCAATTGATATTTATGATTACCTAATGTCAAACGGAGATAAAAATCTTGGCTTTGTATTATTTTTCTAGAGAGATCGAAATCAGATAGTAACCAAAATATGATTACAGATCTCAACTGATTCCAAGTAATATCGACTTTCTGTGTCTATCTTTCCTGCGGAGAGGGGAAAAGAACACTCCCGCGGTTAGGATTGCCTGTCGTATGAGGCAACTAAAATCCCCCAGTGCCAGTCTGCCACTTATGCAAGAAGTCTAAATGGTAGTAAATTGAGGTCTGCAACTTGCGACATCTGACCAAAGATGATCCGATCTGGTACTATGGGGGTCAGTGGCCCGCAGTTAAAACCCAAATGTATGCGGGAAGAATGATTTGATATTGGATTGTCATTCATTCGCCGTGGAGTGCGTTTCAAACCGGGTGCTACAGCCTAAATTGTAGCAGAGGTAGTAGGTAGGCCTCGCATCTCACTCAGGTGGAAGCTATGACATGCATGAATTTCTTCATTGGTACCGGCGGAATAAGGAGTGATATTCCAATGAGGCGTTGATTGACGCTTATATTAATACGTGTGTTGAGAGCACCGTGGTTTTAAGTCTCCACGACATAGAAAGTCACGTAAAACAACAATGGACTTTCCTTTCTGTATCTATCATGTAGTGAGATAGTAACACAAAATGACCACTTCTAAACCGCTTCCGTTTTATTTTATTAAGAAAAAATAGGGTGCTTTTTAAGAAAAAAAAAAGAATTAAAAATATAAACAAACCATAATTATATATTACCACTGTCATGTTTTGGAACCTCTTGCGGTGAAGAGGTTAGAATTTTCTCGCGGTTAGGATTGCCAGTCGTAAAAGTCGACTAAAATCCCAGTGCCAATCTGGCACTTGTGTCATGGAGTGCAAATGGCAGTAAGTTCAGTTTATACTTGCGACGCCTGACCAGAGGTGAAATTCTGGTACTACGGGCGGTTAGTTGGCCCGCAGCTTTTGCTGTTCTGACCATATCGTAGTGGCTGTGATTAATACCCAAAACTACTGTACCCAAAACTATAGTAAGTGATCTGCACCACTTGTGAAACCTGACCAGAGGTGAGTATCTGGTACTACGGGGGTCAGTGGGCCTAAATATTTAATGTCACTATCCTAAATTTGCATCGGAATTTATTTAATTTCTTTTATATGTGAACTCCTGTTATCGATTGTACGTTATTGATTGCATTTCTTTGAAATAAGTGTATGTTTTTATTTATACGTAATTGTTTTGATTTAATTGGAAACTTGTTGTAACCGTAACATATCATTAATTTAGTATACAATACTCTTCAGCTTATATTAAACGAAATTATAATGCAAAATCTTTTAATCGATATATTACAAATACAGTAATCCCCGGAACCAATCTACCGCGTTATAGGAAAATGCGTTATAGAGGTATTCCCGTATACCCCGTATACACACGTGCAAAGGTGTGCAAAGCTAATTATGAACTGCACAAATCTCCGCGTTATATGGGGGAATGCCCATGTTATACGGGGGATTGAAATTGTGTATTTTGAAAACGCGTTATAACGGTACCGCGTTTTGAGGGGGATTACTGTACTGTGATTTCGTAATTGGTGAACTGTTATGAACTGATTCTTAAGTCCAGCAAAAATACAATCATCTATGTATCAGCTGAGTATAAAGTATGTGTCAATAAGTAGTAATCCATGGATTTAACATTGCTTTTGAAGTATCGAATTACACTATGTTTGTCTAGATCACATGATATATGAGTATAAGTTTGTTAGTATAAAAAACATATGCTATTAATAAATTACAAATTATTGAAAAAGAAATAGAAAATATATGTGAGGATGGAAATATTTATAATGAAAAAAAAAAAAAAGAAAAACTAATATCTCAAAAACTTTGTCAAACTAATTTTACATGCTTCAATTCATTTAAGCTTAATTACAAATGGAAAATGAATAGAACAGAAACTTAATCTAGGTTAATGCTTTATACACCATATGAACATCCCAACTCAGTCATAATAGCAACTGTGCAGTTAAGACAAAAGCCATTCATTATGCCAGTTCAAATCTGCTAATGTTGAAGAATTTTACAATTAATTGTTAAAAGTTTTGTGTCTGCAACATTGTTGAAAACTACACATACCACCACCAACGCGCGACCACCACCCATTTCCGTTTAATTGGCCCCAAGAGCAAAGAAATGGAAAACATAACACAGACTGTGCAATCCATTAGTTGCAGTACCAGGTCCAACCAACCCATTCCTCTGTGAACGCTCTCCATCCATCCCCTGCTTAGCAGTTTCTGGCGCACTTCCCACTTATCTCCGACAAGCATTTAAGCATATTTATGCTATGACGACGGCATACATAACGAGCACGGCGCTTGGCGACATCAGCCACTCCAGCCAACTGTGAATAATTTCGTTGGAAATTACAAAG